GTGATGGTATCAGATGATAGTGAACAGTAAGGACATCCTGGAGGTGGGAAAAGAGACACATATTGAAAGGGATACAGCACACTTTTTTCTGATGCAATATAAAAGCTAAATCATAGCCAGAAACTACTCTGAGCTACACATACAACGAGTAAGGATTCTGAGAGCAAAGGTATTAGACATTAGGAATTCACGAACTGCTTTAAGTTTTCATTCTAAGCAATGCAAGGATGTAAATATTAATACAGCACACTAGGTGTAAGAAAAGAAAGCCTAAAATTAATCAAGTTTGACATTTTTATATTCATAAAATTTTATTAAGTATTAGTTAGGGAATAAGAAACATGGAAGTTTTTTTTTTTTTTGTTTATTAAAAAAGCAAGTAACTTGGATAAAGGCAAAGGAAAAGAAGACAGAGATCCTATCCTACAAATCTGTAAATAAGCAAATTAATAAAGATGACCGAATTCTAAAAAATACCACATTAGGATAAACATGAAACATGTCACAGGATATACAAATTTATTCCACACAAGATACTAGTTCTTCCATGTGCCTAATGAATTAGCTGATGTATCCACAGTCAACTGTTTTCCAATTTGCTGCTACAGACTTTCCAGTTTTACCTGTATCTGTGCTCAAATTAAGCATCACAACAGCAAGTTTTTATTTAAACCCTACATACTGTTATACAAATATCACTATAGTTTGCATTTCTGCTATGCTAGTCAAAAATTACCAAACGAAAATCACCTACAGCTAACCTATCTTTGACCATGCTCTGAAGTCCATTTCCCAAGGCAAGATATACAAGTTTGCAAATAAGCTAGCATTAGATTTCAGTCACCCATTCTAAAACATTACAACTGCTGAGGGAGCCTGTTTTGTTCTTTTTGGGTTTTACATTGCAATCTTTAAAAAAGTTTTTCCCTAAACAGTGAGGGCACATGTCCCATTACATTATATATAGGATGTTTCAGAGAAGATCATTAAAGTTTAAATCCTCTAGATACCATTACTCTGTTGCAACATTGTGCAAAATACCGAGTTGCATGCTCAATCACTGCGGCAATTTAATTATTCTTACCAATTGTTACTAAACGCATTTGTGGGAATGCTTCCTGTAAAACAGTTCAGTATTGTGGAATAAAATGAAACCTTGTGCACGAGATGAAGTTATTTAAGGTTAATTAAATAGCAGGTAAAAGGGTGACTATTAGAAACTGGCATGCCTAATCTTGCAATACTGAACTTGGACACTACACTTCTGAAACATTCAAGGACACTGACGCAGAAAAATTTTATTTGAACTGATAGTTCAAATAGACCATTAACTTGCTATGGGTTACTGAATACAGTACTGGTAAAAGTGACACCAGTATTTCCTTAAAACAACTTTTCCAGCTACTTAATATGTAATCATAGAACAACAACATTGACATTTAAATACTGGGGTTTTTTTTAAACTAGTTTAGATAACTAATCTACATTAAAAGAATTCCTTCACAGGAATCATATAAAGAGAAAAATAAGAATGTAATTACAGGAATATAAAGAATAATTCCTTCACAGGAACTATCCTGCACAGATGCATTTTAAGCATGAAGCACATGACCAGTCAGTACAGCTAAAGAAGACTCAGCAAGACCTACGCCAGAGCACAACAAAAGAACTCATGGAAGGAAGCACATGCAGAAAGCTACAGAGGTCAGAAACATAGTAAGAACTCACTAAGGTAAGGAGAACAGTAGAAACCAACAATGTAGCAATGTAGTCCATTAAAACAAATTAAACATTTTAAGATACCAAACAAGTTAGTTAAGCACTAAAATCTGAATAAGTTTACCATGTTTTCTAAAAGATGTCCTCTATTGAGACTAATATTTTCTTAAGAAGGAAAACCTACCATTCTAAGATATATTCTCCCAATAGTTCAGGAATTCCCTCTTGAAAGTCCTTTTTGATCTTATTTGGCAACTATTTTTGGAGTCACGTATCTAAATAACCTCTGCATTCTCAAGCCCTCTCTATATGAGAAGGTTCTACTGTACTACTCTGGTTTAAGTTTCAAACCAAGCATAACTAGATTAACAAAACCCCACTTATATCGAAAAACACTTTCACTTAGAGAGACTAATTCTATGTAGCTAAACCATCAACAGTAAAATGTCATCTACCCGTTCTCTCAGCAAGATACTTTTGGTCGTGAGATTGTGCGAGCATTACAAGTTATGATCACTGAAAGGAAATCAATGAGCTCAGACATAGGCACCCTCCTATCAAAAGAGCTTACAGAATAAGAGGCACGCTCTTCTACACAGACTTCAAACTTATTTCATGGGATAAATAAAGTTTAGGTGCTTATCATATTTAACTAAACTATAACAAGACTGTAAGATGGACTGAAAGCTTCTATCTCTATCTGCAAACACTAGGATCATTTATAAAACCTGGCAACCCCCTAGATATCAGAAGATCTCAGAATGGCAGTCATTGCCATCAAAGAAACTCATCATTAGAAACTAAGGAGAAGAAAGGCAGCTCTTGACAATTCAGCACTTCAACTTTTCTTATTCAAACTTTCCTCTGAACAGAATTCCTAGAATAGTGTACTGGATTTGATTTTATATATACCTATAAAAAGATACAGAACTGTAGACAGAGAAAGACAGGTATGAGCATATTATCCACTGAAAAAAAATACTTTAAAGAATCTTTAAAATTAATGCAAAAGATGCTCTTTGTTTTTTCTCTAAAAATTTGTGCAGTATTAAAAACTTTGGAAGTAGATGGGATATGCACTTTGGTCAGTGTCCTCTGTGTAGTTTGATAAGCCTGAATTTACTTTTAACTAGAACTACAATCTGCATATGTAAACAAGAACAATGTGCCCCGAACAGTCACCTCAGAAGAGCTTAATGAACTGTTAATTTTGCCTAAAGATTTCAATTTTTAATGATTTTTGTCTGGTGATTCAATATGGTACTTTATGTGGAAAACACACATATGAACTACTGTTTTCTGTACTTCAAAGCATTCACAGCAAAACTAACTACAGGCAAAAAGCTCCTTCAAGGAACACATCCCAGGTCTCATTTTCCACATAATATGCATCTGCACATTAATGCAATTCTGCATACACACAGTTGAATGTACATATGGAATCTGAATCTACTTTAAGATGCATACAGTTTGTGCAGTGTTGCTTATTTTTATAATACTCTAATTTAATGGAAAAATAAGGTTCTTGAAGTCACCAGCCAGGCTGGTGACTGTGCCAAACTTTTGTTAGACACATACTTCATCCTATTTTTGAAGGCCTCATGATTAAACAGGGGTAATGTCTTACTGCTCAAATAAAGTCACCCTTCTATGTTTGACTTCACAATCGTGTTTATTAGTCTCCCACTAGTACTCATCAATATCTGCATAACATGTTTCTTGCTTTAAATTAGAGAAAAGAATGGCAGAATAGGGATAAAGATGTAGAAATGTTCTATCCCTTGGTTAGTTGTTACACATTGCTCTTCAAAAGCTGCATTACGTAAAACAACAAAAAAATATTCTTACTGACCAGAAAAAGTCAATGATTTGTTATTCATTCTTTCTAACTACATTCTGGACTAAACTTAGAGACAAGGGGAAAAAGTAATCAGATATATACAGTAATCAATAACTGCTTTACAAATCAGAAACTGTAAAAACAAAGACACGTGCTTACTGTATGGGGAAAACACCTTGACATTTTTGTCCAGTTCCAAAAGAATTAACTATCTTTAGAAAACTAGGCTGTTATTTCTTGACATAACCACAAACTGCTTTTATGCAAACAGAGAAGCTGTTGAAGCATAGGCTGGATGAGCAGTCAGGGAGACTGAAACCTGCTGAATGGCTGGGCCCAGAGCGTGGTGATCAGTGGCCCACAGCTGGAGGTCAGTAACTAGTTGTGCACCCCAGGGATCAGTACTGGATTGAATCCTGTTCAACATCTTCATTAATGAGCTGGATGATGGAGCAGAGGGCACCCCCAGCACATCTTCTGATGGCACCAAACTGGGAGGAGTGGCTGATAAACCAGAGGATCATGCTGCCATCCAGAGGGACCTTTACAGGCTGCAGAAATGGGCTTGCAGGAGCCTCATGAAGTTCAACAAGAAGAACTGGAATAGATTAAATCCAGGCACAGAACATGCTGGGGGGCAGCCAGCTGGAAAGTAGCTTGGCAAGAAAAGATCTGGGGGTCCTGATGGACACCAGGTTGAACATGAGCCAGCAGTGCCTTCATGGTAAAGAGGGCTAATGGAATCCCAGGCTGCATTACATTTACTATCAGCAGGTTGAGGGTTGCGATCCTTCTCCTTTGCTCTGCAAGAGTGAGGCCTTACCTGGGGTACTATGCCAGTCCTGGGCTCCCCAGTAAAACAGATGTGGATCTACTGGAGCAAGCCCAGTGAAAGTCCATGAAGATGCAAAAAAGCTGAGAAAGCTCTGACTGTTCAGCCTAAAGAAAGCATCTGTGGGGTGTGGAGCATTTGGGGATTGAATTCCTCTATCTGTGTAAATACCTACAGGGAGGGAGTAAAAGGAAATCCAGACTGTCCTCAGTGGTGCATAGTGACAAGACCAGAGGCAATGGCCACGAACAGAAACACAGGAGGTTGCCTCTGGACATCAGGAAACACTTTCACAGCAGGGGTGACTGTAGACTGGGCATAGGTTGCCCAGAGATGTTGTGTAGTCTCCCACCCTTCAAGATACTCAAAAGCTGTCTGGGCATGGTCTTGGGAAACCAGCTTTAGGAGTCCCTGCTCAAGTAGGAGGCTTAGACTAGATGACCTCCAGAAGTCACTTTGAGCCTCAGTTATTCTGTAATTCTGTGAAAACAGAAGTACTTTCAAACAACCAGAAATATCTGCTCTAGACCTCTCATAGTGTCATGCTCACAGGTGCAAGCTAACAAGTTCCATCCCTCCTCAACTTAAAAAAAAAAAAAAAAAAAAGAGACAAAAGCCAGAAACCCTAAAAAAACCAACAAAATCCTTCCACAGACTCGGTATCGGTACTAAAACAAAAAAATCCCGCACATAAAATAAAAATGGCATGTGTAAATTAACACTTCTAATCTTACAAGAGGGCCTGGACTTGTCTGTGAAAAATATGGGAAGTCTACATATACTTTTTTGACTGTGTCACAAAAAAACCCCAAAACGACTATAAACAAGTTTTCTGTGCTGGAAAATATCCACATGCAAACTTAACACAGGGCAGGGTAAGTACTGAAACTTGTAAACTAGGAAGGCCTTGGAGTTGTATTCTCAGAAAAATGCATTAATTATTGGAGCTCTTACAGAACAATGCTGTGAAATGCATTGTGTTTTATTTATTTGCTGCTGGTACACTGATGAGTAACAGACAGAAGTAACAAGAACAGTGTTTTTTATTTCAATTTCAGGTGGGTATAGTGCTCAGTATATCTGAACACAAATCTCTGTTCTAAATAAAAAAAACTAAAAAATCCCCACAACATGCAACCTCTAATCTGTTTAACTGGTTTTGTTATGCAAATCAAATTAGCAGTAGAGTTTAACTCCATTGTTAGAGGTTCACTTTGAGAAGATTTTATACCCTATTCATTAGGAAGCCAAGCATTCATATGGGATTTTAAATCATCTTACTAAAAGTGATCTGAACGATTTTCAGATATGAAAATAAAATTCAGCAATGTGCACTAAAATCCTTCCTGTAAAGCCTGATCACATTCCCACAGAGTCATTACACCAAGACCAGAGTAAGTTAGCAGGTTCAGTTATAAGTTCACTTAACAAAATAGCAGAATGTGGCAACAGATTGAGTTATCCATAGTTCTCAGGTCTTATTTCTAAAAAGAAAAAACCCAGTAACTTTATAAAGGTAGTCTATCAAAGTATTTCTTGCATTTTTTAAATAATCTGTTTCACACTCTGACATCTGGCAGATGCTGCTGTATTGAAAGTCTCTCACCCCCTATCTAAAATATCTTATGCGTACTCCAAAATTCATTCTGTAAATTCTACTACCTGCTACATGACCGTATAAACTCTAGCCTGTAGCAAAATACATTCAATTTTAGTAGAAACATGAATTGAGAGACTTTTCCACCAAGTCCATCTCACCTAAGGAAAAAACTGCTTCCTACAGTATGTTTTTTATGGCTGTAATGCAGCCAAGTCTCAATTCAGTGGATTGGGTATAGAGTTAGATATTCGTTTATTCAATTCTACATCAGAGGGTTAGGTTTGTATTCAATTCTCAATCTGCAGACAGAATAGGCAGAAACACTTGCCCCAGAAAATCTTGACCACAAACACTTAAGATTCCTGAATATTTAATAATAAGAAAAAATACAGACCACTAATTACCACATGCATTTTACACCACTTATTGCAAAAGTATACACATGCTCACGTGCCTCTCAGCTAGTGTTTTGTCATTCTACCAGTAAACATACGTAAGGCGCTGAAGTAAATAAGTCTAAGTAGATGAAGGAGACAAATTAAAAACCAAGACTGGTAGACAAATTCTTTAAGTCATATGCAAAAAGACTTAAGAATATCTTTTTCGAAAACTAACATTCAGTACCTTTTTAAATTTTCCTTGTCGTTTTGCTGCAGACTGCCCCTGGGAGTTAGAATAACATACTGTAAGAAAACATGCACACACCACACAGGATGGAGACACCTTCTCTGTACAATTACAGTTATACTTTCAACCTACAGATTGCCAACTTTTAGAAAGTCACATCTATGTTCAAACATGCTCTTAAAGCATGCTCTTTCATGTTTTCAAAATTAATAAAACAATGCATCATTGTGTATACAGTCCATTCCTCCTGTAAGATAAGCAAGTGTTGTTAACCACTTAGCTTCAATTAATAAATTACAGAAACTGAGCCTCAGAATTTTAGTTTTTAGATTGTTGACTGTTTACTGGCATTGTTGTATTTCATAATAAATATACGGAAATTAGATACATTTTCCCTTACCTTGCATCCACCCGCTGACTTAAATACAACTTTGCTGCCTAGTCCTCCTTTTTTGTCTCCTGCTACATACTGACATCACTAAAGGCAGCAGAAAGTATCTGATGCTATTTGATACCATCCTTTTTCCAGTGAAACGTGACCATAACAGTAATGTCTTAGACTATGACACAAGACACGCCTCAGCTAGAGCTTCTTTCCATGTAAGCTTTCTCCACCACAATTTGACAGGCACTATCTACCTATCTCCTACTTCCTATCACAGAAACTACTGTGCATAGCCACTTAGACTGGTTTTAAAATAAAATGGGCAAGAATCACAGTCAATTGTTCAAGGAAGTGCAAAATTCTAGTTAGGGAAACTATACTACACTAGTGTAATGGATTTACCATGGATTTCATAAAAGCACACTTATAACTCCACAGGAATCACAAAGAAATAATTAAACTAGATATTTTAGAGTTTCTAGTTACTGGGTTTTTCCTCACTGATGTGCAGATTCTCCTGACAGACATTATCTCACCTGCTGTTACGTGCAATCTGCCCCAGAAGTACTAGCTACAACCAAATCAGACTGAATGAACTAAACTTTTATGCTAGACAAGATCTAAAGGTATATGCCCACCTACTCACAGAAACCTATTTTGAATGAAAACATACTCTAATTTTATATATGTTGTTCAGCCACATCTAGTGAAATATGGACATAGATGAACTACCTTTTAAATACTAACAATCACCAGGATGGACTAAAATTTAATCTCAGGTATGACATCTGTTTAAAAATAGCTAGGGGAATCTTCTAAACACTGTAGCATCAGACATACAGAAAATAGTTGTGGTTACTATAATCGCTGTTGTACTAGAAAGTCATACAAGTTAAAAACTATTTTTTCACAGGATGTTGCATTATGAGCAAAAAGACCCTACAGCTGTTTTTCTAGCATCACACACAAAGATCTTATCTCTTGCTGTTGAAGCATATAGTCATACTAGTGGTTGACAACATCAGCGTGTAGCAGGTAAGAATATCTAGGTACTCGCGCCAGCAAAATTCCTACTACTCGGTAACAGTAACACATAGGTGTTTAGAAAGCATGTATTTTTGCTCAAAATTGTATGCATGCAAGGAAGATTATAACTGTTTATTACAGAACAAACGTGCACAAAACACTACGTATGCATGTATTTTTCATTCAAAAATTACAGTAAGCCACAGAGTTACAAAAATCAATTTTAAAGGCTCCACACCAACAAAAAAGCAGTTGCTTCTAGAAATAAAAAGGTTTCAGAGTGAAAGAACTAAAAGACAAAATTCAAATTTGAAATTAGAAGATGAAAATAAAATTAGAGCTACTTAGAAATTACGCTAATTTTATAATGAAACAACTGCTTCTAAAATGTATTATATATTACCAAACCTAACGCTCTTTAAAGTAATAAACCCATACAACATAGTACTTCCTGGCATGCCATTCACTTGCTACAAAAGTTTCAGAAAAAGAAACTGTCATCCATTTAATATACTCACAGCTTTCTTTCCAAGTTCTGTTTTTGACAGTGTAAGACTCCCTGCAAGATAACATCCTGGTCCTGCTCCTTTAGGTATTCTGTTCAAAGAAAGTAAGTTCAGCATTAAAACCAGGTTAATTAAGGTTCCATGGAAACTACAGTAAAGAAGTCAAACAGTGAAAGAGCAACACAAGAGGAATTACCAAGCTGAACAGGTAGACACTGTCCAAGTATCATTTTAGTTGGGTGCAGGGGCAGCTGTGGTTAGATGTAGAGGGGAAAAACAGGACTTGAGTCACTTACTTGTCATCAGGCAGAGATGTAACAAAGAATGGCTGACTGTGTTTTGGTGGTAATGTCAAACTGTTGGATTTCTTCTTCCCTAAGAGAGCAAGGCTATGGTTTTCATAAATATCTAAGCTCAAGGTACTAGACAACCTGTGAGAAACAATAAATGGAAGGTCTTTGATGCGATCCAGCTCGCTGTTCTGCTCATGACGAATTTGTAACCGAATAGTGTAATCTCCTTTTTCCAGTTTCACAGAATACTGAAAGAAAGAAGTTCTCATAAATGTCTAGATTAAATATTTCACCATTCACAAAAAAAACACAAACCCCAGAAATAAAATTGTCATGTTCTTCTTGATCCACATAGCTCTAGCCATTTAAAATATATTAGGTTGCTTAGTTTTGGAAACTCCTGAAAACAGAGTGCTTTCAAGACATGACAGCAGGCAAAACACATTTAGTACTGACTAAAAAAAAAAAATTAAGTTTTCATGCCACAAAACAGGTACAAATCAGAATTCCTGTTAAACTTTCAGTTCAAAGCCTATGCATGTTTGCATTGATACACTTTCAGTTTACTATGTTTGGGTGCTCTGTGGTTGAGATCACAGAACATCTTCTACTGTCTCAAACACTACCAATTTTCACACTGACGGACGCAGTATTCCTGTGAGATCTATGGCTGCAGTTTCAAGAGTTGACAGACTCTTTGCCCTGAGCTTGTTACTCAGTTAAAAATATGCAGATAAATAATCTCCATTTATTAAAAAAAAACACACCACCAACAAAAAACCAGGAATGAAACCAACAATGAAAACAAACAAACAACAACAAAGAAAACCCCCCCACCCAAAAACCCCCCAACCAACCAAATAAAAAAAAAAAGCCCAACTAAGAATCCTCCTAAGAATTCACTTCTTGAGAAGTGTCAGTTAAAATCATAACAGTTTTTCCTCTTTCTCCTTCCTTAAAAAAGGAAAAAAATATCATGTTCTATCTAATGGACAAATAAGCCTATAAATTTTTTAAAGACAAATACATCACCATCGAATCTGTCTTCTCGTGAACACATAAGAACATTATACCTACACATCAGGAAATGTTAAGAGCTAACAGCAAGGCTAGGTGGTGAAATTTTTCTGCAGAAAACAGAAGGTAAAATATATACATTACACCGTACCTGGTGTGGATAGGCATCTCCTGAACCCATTTGTCGTTTGTTCTGGTCAAAAATAATCCACAGTTGACTATCAAACTCAGATTCATACAACAATTCACAAAGAAGTGGACAGCTTGGAGTTACTTCTCCACTCTTAGGCTATTAAAAGAAAGGTCAAGGCATTTAATCTTGTACAGAATAAAACAAGTACAATCCTTACACACATATTCAAAAAGATAACTGAACTCTAGCCCATTTCAAGCAACAGCATCTCTTTAAGTGAATCAAATCAGAATTTTGATGTAGGGTCTAGAGTGTGAATGTAGACCTCCTTTCTGACAGAGAGCTAGTTAAAATTAAGATCTGGTTTTAGAAAACATGCTGTACTTATTAAAGACTTTTTTTAAAAGAGTTATCTTACCTGATGGAAGTTATATGTCAAAATCATCTCATACAGTTGACGGTTATTTGGTAAAATATCTCTGGAACCCAAAGGTTTTATTTTTGCACTCACTGGTCTGCAGTTAAATAACAAAAAACAACAAAAGGTACTCTTAAGAAACATGTATTCTCTACCAAATTTGTCTTAAGCAGAAGCATATTCTGAAGTTCAAATGAATTCAGCACATGCAATAACATCTCTTAAATATTGTAACTATCCAGGCAGCGTAAATTCCTCAGTTAAAATTAATGTCAGTTCAAAACCAAGGTTTAATGACATTACAGACACAGCCAAACAAAAAAAAAAAAAGAAGCCAGTGTAGCAAGCATGTCTAAAACTCAAAATTAAAGGCCATTAAAAAAAAAAAAAAAACACATCAGGGTACACTTCTAGTATCCATGCTGAAATCAGCACTTGTATTCATAACTGAAAGATTAATGGTACAGCAATTAGAAGATAGAACAAATAGTTGATAATTCCTTGTTACAGAAGATTGTATCTTAAAAGAATCTATAAGAGGCCTTGAGAAATCTGAGTCATGATACAGAAGAACGTACACTACAGAGAGCGTATGTTAATTCAGATGCAGTTGGAAAAAGCCATTGCTCAGGGCAGCACAAACACTTCAGACCTTAAGCATCGAAGAATATAAACTAGGTAATAATGATATTGGAAAATTTGAGCCTCAGAAATTAAGAGTAGCAGAATCACGGTGGCCTGGCATCATTTAAGTTTACATTTCATTCATTCTATCTGACAACCTTTAAACTACATGATCAGAATTTTTCTCTAAGATTCTGCCAACTCCTTCACTGCCAAGAGCACAGACTAGTCATCCAGTAAGATGTGTATGCCGGGTCAGCCCATGTGTCCATTTAACCCAGGTTTCCTATCTGGCAGACACTAGATAGACTGCTGACAGAAGACTTAAGAACCAAGTAATACCACACGATACGCCTCCCTAACATTCACCCTGCCTCCAAGCATTTGAAACAAGAGACAGAACGAAAAGCCATTCAGTATTTTTCTTCTCTGTGTTATGACTCTAGTTCATTCAAGAGACTCTATTCAAGCCTTAATTTAAATACATAACTATTTCTCCATAGTTTACTTAACTGCAGTTCATTTACTGTCAGACAAGTGCCTTAAATACTACAAGGAGTTAAGAGCATCTCCATTTTTTAAACTAAGAATGAGGCAAAGCTATATAAGGGGACTGTTTTATTTCCTCACTTAAGGAATATCAAATTGAGTGTTTCTGAATCTAACATTAGGTGACAAGTTTATTAAACAGTAAACTCTTAGTGACTTCAATTCCAGTTACAAGTATCCAAAATCTCCAAACAGAGTGCCAATGTTTCCACTGACAGACCCAAATTAAAAAACTTAGGATTACTGAGCACTGTGAAATTGTCTGTCCCACATCTTAAAAGCACTACTTAAACCACATGGCATTTCTTTATCCTTCTGAAGTGATGAACTCTAATAATTGCTGCACTGTTCAGGAATTTTCCAACAAAGTTTTTCTTCCAAATCAGCATTGTTGTCAAACAATGTTTATCTTGTTGGCAACAAGATAAACACAGCTTTCCACAAAAAATAATGCATGAGATCCTACAAAAACACTTCTAATCAAGCAACAGAGAAGAGTCTTCCCATATCAAAACTGGGCAGGATCTGAGGTAGCTGCTTAAAAAAAACTCCACAAACCGAGGTCAACAAACAGTAGCACCAAATAACTCTACAATTTGTTTCCTTACATATAAAAAACCCTTTTAGATATTAAAGTGCATTTTATCTCTAAGTGTCTCCTTCAGGAGCAATGGAATGTTTTTGTATTTTTTTTTTTTAAATTAGCTTAAGGAAACTCATTTGTATGGAAAAAAGTTACCATAAAGAAACCAAAAAAGGGAATGCTGAAAAATTAATTGATGCTTCCAAAGCTACCTTGAATTTGACAAGAATACTGTTGTAATCCTGAATTTCACTGTTAACATGTTACTGTTTTAACCCTACACATAATTAGTTTTCCCACTCTCCCAAAACAGTTCCCCGAAAACTCTACCTGAGCGTTTGAACCCAGCTTTTCAGATTTATGCACGGAGCAATATCTTCATATTTCAACAGAGACTGAACATCAAATCGAACGATGCCTTCTGAAGCATGCTAAAAAAAAAAGAGCATATAAGAACTATGCTTCTGTGCACTTATAGTATCAGATGTGAACCATCTGTTATATCCCTGAAAAATATAACACAAGTTGTAATTATTTACACTTTAACAAGAATACTGTGTGATTTTGAAAGTATCACAAGTGCACCTCTATTTTACAACAGCAGATACACTGGGACTTGCAAAACTTTAGCAAGTGGGGCTACAGTTTTATTTATATACTTACAAACTTGTATTACTGTAAGTATATATACAATATATAAATACTTTGCACAGAACTGACAAGTCATACTTTGTGCAAGATTGGATTTTGTTAGTGCATTTGGGACGATTTACGTAACAATAAAAGTATTATTCATCTAGAATATTAAAGCAAGTATTTTATAGTGCTTCTTAGGATTATTTCTATGGAATAGCTTAACTCTGCAAAAGAGAAACAATACTACATAGACAGACCTAGTGATGGACAAAATCATTTGAAACCTTTTTTTTAGCAGTATCCCCTGACAAAGACTGTACATGAGCACTATTAAAATTTATTTTACAAAAGTCACCGGTGCTCAAAAAGAAAGAACAAAACTGTTCATACTCTCTCATTTTTAACTGTCCATTATCCATTTGATGCAATCCTGCTGGGCTGGGGACAGCTGCCGTGCACACCACCAGCTCCTTCTTTTACTATTCCCCTGGTTCAAGACCTGTGACCTTAGCACACTGCACCCACTCTTTTTTCTCCAGTTTATTCTGCTCTTACAGCCTGATTACACCCAAATTCACTCACAGGACAGCTATAATTTGCTCTGGTTCTCAGATGAAAAAAAAAAGAGAGAAGCCAGGATAAATTGGCTTGGTGCTGCTGCATGTACTTATTTCCCTACCATCTCTCAAAGAGCTGTCTCCTGAGTGAGGTAATGTCAAGCCAAGCCAGCTTGCATAGGACCGCAAAAGCATAGGACCAAGAGAGAGTACTGTAAATATTATGATACCAACATTTTAAGAAACTTTTTCAATCCTTTAGTATCACAGAGCCTTAGGAATCATGACATTGACCCATCCACTGTGCCTTCAAGTGCCCTAAAAGATAACCCTCAACCCAATTAGCTCGATGATTCTCAAGCCAATCTCAATAAAACACTGAAAAGAAAATAAATTTTAATCAAATTTTATTCTGACTATAGCATTGAGAGTATTGCCTTTTTAGCAATGTTTGTCTAGATATACAAGTTCAAGAACTGTGGGCCCAGTAAAGTTTATTTACACAAACACTTGCTAGTGTAAGCGTATTTACAGTTTCAGCCTTTTAGTATGTTTTTTCTGTTTGTGTTGAGTTTAGGGGTTTTGGTTGGGATTTTTTTTTTTCCTTTCTTCTCCCACTGCTGATTAATAATGAAAAGACAAAGAAAAAAAAGCATAAATAATGTTAGTGGGCGCTTCTGTGGGATTGAACTATTTTGCAATTTTTAAGAGAGAATATGAACGTCTCATGTATAAAGATACTTTTACTCTTTCTAAATACAGTGAAGAAGGAAGAAAGCTTTCTTTTCTGAGATACCACAGGATTTCAGAATAATTAAAAATAAACACTCTGGAAAACTTACCATGTTTAGCTGAGGAGCAGCACAAAGTACACCATGGAAAGAAATTGTGTAATTAATGCTGACATCACTAAGGCTTGCCCACCACCGAGCAACACAAAATTCAATTGTTTTTCCAGCCTGGGTAATAAAAGCACAAAGTTAGACTACAGCTCCCATCTTCCTCTTCTATTGATCCCAACCTCCCTCATCCCAAGACAACAAAAACATCAGAGTACAGCTCAAAAAAGACTTCTTTTGTCCAGTTTACTCCAACTGTATGGATTTGTACAGTACCAAATAAGACATAGTTGGTTCAGAAAACATCAGACAGCTCCAAAAAAGCCCAGGATGTCTGATGAATGCATCAGAACAAAGGGTGGTGGGATTTACTCTACACAGAATGGTACAGCTTTTAAAGGTCACCTCTTCCTTTCTTATTCTTCAAACTAGGCAGACAGGTTAGGTCATAGATGAGTTTAACATGTGTGCCCCAGAGAACACATATCAGAAAAAGAGATCCCACTCCCTGCCTAAATAAGATGACAGGAAGCTTGAGAGCTTTGGGTTTTTTTTTTTTGTTTGTTTGTTTGTTTTTTTTTGTCTGGTTGGTGGGGGTTTTTGTTTGTTTTGTTTTTTAATTAACATGATAGAATTCATAATGTGTCAGTGGGACCAACTTAGCTTATTGTCCCCCACCGGACATTTTCACACAGGGTAGGGGACTGAATAGCATAGAAATTATAACTACTCTTAGGGCTTTAGAGCTATACAACCAAATTGAGCAAGGCAGTGGACAACCTTCAGAAGGAGGCTCTGTTATCCACACCCCTGAACTGTTAGCTCATTCCCAGCTTGTGTTCTGGACTCTCGAGCTAGCATTATCCAAGCTAAGCATGCTGTACCAGCTATCACCTGGTTTAAACATCAAGATGTCCCAAATTACCACATTAACTACTAAAAGCAAAATATGTTGAACTACAGCTATCCAAAAAGTCAGAGTTCCTATTTGAAAGGGAAACAAATTGCTTTGTATAAACAAGTAGAAACAAATTGAAGATATTAACATGTATTATATTACTAAATAGCTCAGAAACCTTAGAAAGCTATTAGACTGAAAGTCAGATGCATTAACTTCTGTAACAAACACATGATTTCTTGGGTTTGGGGTTTTTCTTTGGAAAAAAAAATCCAGAACAATGTTATAATGCATGGATACTTTATTTACCCCACACCACCCTAAGTAACTTACTAAGACAGGAAATGCTTCAGTCACTGATCCTTTTTCTGGTAAGGATGAAAATTTGTAGAACTCATGACTTCTATATGCCTTTTGTTTCACTAGCTGAACGGCATGAAGCACAAACTTGGCAGTCACATCAGCTGAACATGAACTCACTGTCACTTCTAGGTTAAAGAACAAGAAACTAAGTTTAGTTTCAAGACCTAAGAATTTTAGAAGGAAAGCAGATTCATCAGAGAAACAATACTTTCGCAAGCAATTTGTAATTTAAGAAGTTATGCAGCTGCCCAAGTGGCTCCATTTGTGAAAAATGTCTATGTATCAGTTATTTTCAAAGACCCTTTCAGGTCAAGGCAAACTAGCTAAGTTCAGAAGACAATTAAAAGAAACATGTTTCACAAATGGTGCAAATTGATCAGATACTACAGAATACAATCTGTAAAGGACAGACTACTGAATTCCAAATTAAGAGTCTTATCACTAATTTTTGTTTAAACGAAAGCTTTTTGAAAGGATTACTATTAGTAATTTCACACAGGAAGATTGAGGGAAAAAAACCTTTTTTTCCTTCTTGCAAAATTACAGGCTACTTGCCCTTATGAAAATTGCATTTTCTCCAGTTCGACACTCTTGAATGCTGCATTCATATACCTTAACAACTAGACAAATCTCAGACAGTAATACTTTTCCATAAAAATGGGGCATTCTTACAGGTATAGGAAATAATTTCAGATTGTTATTTGCTGGTTTCTTTAAGACTGAGAATCATGATCCTACTATATCATAAACAATTCACAATTACTCCTTTAAAGTTTAAAAATCAAATAAATATTTTACATATTCATGGGTGGAATCCTTCAGTATTGATTCAGGCAGAACTCAAAATGATTTAAAAACAACTTTGTTAAGTCTGACAGATGTGATTTTTTTATTTAGTTAAGGTGGTTATTTTCCTCACCAGCCCATGTAGATCCCTGTGGAACATCAATGAAGTGCCTTCGGATCTGACCAGGTTTAAAATGAACATCCGTATATGTCAGGTCATAGCCTGATGATTCATCTACTCTGTATGTCAAAAGGAAAACAAACGCTAGTCAAACAAGCTGTGAAGCCAATTTTAAAAGCATTTTTAAATGCAAAAACACTCTAAAAATGTCTACAGTGAGGATATTTAGTCCTCAGCGCCAATTATTTTAATCTATAATAGTTCAGAATCTGACAGCACAATGTATCCAAAAGATTTAAAACATCAGCTCCACCACTGTGTAAACATCCTCCCCACCTCCCTGAAGTTACAGCACTTAAACGTAAGTATCAAAGAATCCTCATTTTCAGTGGATCTGCTCTTCCTGGCTGAGTGAATTGCCACTGAAGTGAGCTAAGGTATGAAGGAAGCAGTATCTCTGTGAACGAGTGAGAGAACAGTCACTTCCCCTCCCTTCCCTGCCTCAGGGCGGATTGTTCATCGAACAGATTTAATAAAATACTGTCCTTCCCTATCAACATCGTTGAAGTCATGTTTAAAACAGCGATGGGCACAATACTATTTGCAAATTCCCTGTATTAAAGTCATGACCAAAGCTTATCCCAACGTACAATGGCCAGATAATACCCTCTGCCTCGATGTACTCAAGTCCACAAGGCAGAAATGAAAAAACAAACTTCAGTTGACCTACAGGTATGAGTACATTGATAGATACTTCGTAAAACAAGCCAGATGGCATCTGTATTCTGACAGAGCAGGAAGTTGCTGCCACTGTGGCTAAGCCCACCAGAACACACTGCCTTCTGGCTGTCAGGACCAAAATATGAAAATGTCACAGCTGCATAAGTCTGCTGTAAGAATCTTTTCAGGTGTCTATTCACTTAACAGAGTTAGTACTAAGTTCAAGAACTCCCAGAGTTCTGAGTTTACTGACCTTGTCGGTATAACAACAGTGACTGGAACTCTGAACAGAGGGCCTGCATTAGGTGTTGCTGTATCATATCCACACACCTAACAAAATACAATACAACTACTTAAAATTTTTGGTTAAATCAAACTACAGAAGACAACATTCAACTTAAACTACTTGCAGAATCTTTGTAATCATCACTGAGAAAAAAAAAGGTCTTTTGACCACTGGCACCCTAGAAATAATAAACCACCAACAATCTCTGAGGAAAAAAAAATAGTTTTCACACTTTGACTCATTTCAGTCTTTCCCCAGAAGTTTTCAAACTTTCAATCCACATTTGATAGTTACTATATCAGAAGCTCAACCTAGTTTCAACTCAGAATTTGTCCCAGATTTATTTTAGTTCAGATATTTTTATTGTTATATAAAAAAAATATTTTCATCCTTGTCTTCCAGGATTATGTTAGAAAAAATACAGTTTGATTTACCATGCTTTTCACAGCCAAGCTTTAAATACCATCTCTGAAAAATATGTTCAATCACAGAATCTCATAACAGTTATGGTTGAAAAGGGCTTAAAGATCATCTAGTTCCAACTCTCCTGCCATGGGCAGGGACTCCTTCCACTAGACCAGGTCGCTCAAAGCCCCATCCAACCTGGTCTCGAACACTGCAAAGGATGGAGCATCCATCTCTGGGCAACCTGTTCCAGCACCTCACCACTCTCGCAGTGACTTTGCTAAAATGTTCTCAGTGGTACCATAGAAGACTTGCAACTCTAAACATCTTAAGCAAGCACTTTAAAAGTGAAAGCTGGTATCATCTTTATTATGATCAACTACAATGCAATGAAAGCATTTCAATGTTAATATAAGGTTTGTGATAAGGATAGAGAAGGCTGAAAAATATTTGTTGTTGTTGGGTAACTTTTGCAGGAGCAAAAGAGGATGACTGGGAGAGTAAATGAGAAATTTAATGGCTTTGTTATTAAATCTGACAAGATTTGAATGTAGGTGCTCAAAGTGAGTTACATCTTCTAGTGTACACAGCCATTACCACACATTTTTCTCCTTCACCTTCCAAAATGGGATGTAGTAGAGGTAAGGAAACAAGAAAATATGTTACATCACTGTGCCCAAGCAACTTCTCAATACAAAGCAAAATTTTGGGTCCATTTAAGACTGTATGGCAACATCACAAAAGCCAAGCCAGTCCTTAAGCCACCACAGAAGAAATATTTAAGACCTCATAAAATCACAAATCTCTATCCTCAATAATAGTATCTGTCAATTGAGATAGATAGTCAAAGGTTGAAATATATCCAGAGGAAAAAACTTAATCAATGGTTATTTATTTGGTTTATATTTTCTCTATGTTTTTGTTTTTTAAACACAGATAATCAAGGTCTTACTGGTATGTGCTACAGAACATTGTATAGCATAACTCTGACTGAACCCTAGCTTCAGCCTGTATAGTGAAATGGAGTGTGGCACTATTTTCTGGTCTGTACAGCACACAGATCTGATTTCCTTAAAAATTACTTATACAAAAAGTTGGTAGAGACCACGTGAAAAGGAAAGAGCATGCAATCTTGCTTAGAACACCAAGATTTCCATACTTCTGTATAATGTACTCCTTCTCTGAGGCCACGTGGATCCACACGAATATTTATGTGTCGACACTGGTTCATGAGCTCTAAATGACTAGGACACTGGACCCACGATGCATTTGAGGTTAAAGCTAAATGAAGCTGAAGAGATATTCTTTCAGTATTTTCTGTCAAGAAACAAATTTAAGAAACAAGTTAGTAACACAAACATGGGCCCATAGTCTACTATAATGCAGTATTTGCTATTAAAATGCACACATCAATAAAACGTAATAGGAATCAATTCCTCAGGGCACCTGGATGTCAGATTCAGAACAAAGGACAGTGTTCTGTATCACTTCTTTTGACTTGAGAAAAACAGAAGAGCGGCAGTATGCAGTGAAATAAAGTTTGTATTTGACTTTGAAAGTCCTCCCCCTTAAAACAGTCAAACCCAACAAAGTCAAAGATAGGATGGTAAGCAATGCTTCAGTTACCCACAACATAGTCTGGAAGCAGGTATACACTTCCTTCTAGAGATAAAGTGTTGCCTAATGCAGAGAAATACAATAAAAAGCAATCCCACTGATTCTAAAGGTTAATTACCAAATTACATTATAGAGCAACCAATCTAAGCAAGAAGAAAAATCTATTAAAAATTACTATGATAATCTACTTTGACTTTGCAAACAGTCAGATTCTGTAAATTAGCTTCTATGTCAAAAAAAGCACTAAGTTTCCAAGAAAGTATCCAAACCAGTTGAAATGTTTTAGGTTTTAAAAGCCAATTTCCTGCTCCAAAGGTGACACTTCAGAAAACTTTTTCCAGGTTTCCTGTTCCTAATTAAGCTTAGCTTAATTTTCAAGACATTTCCTCACATCTTTATCAGAGAAAAGAGCACTCCATTATTAGATGCAATTCCTTTATAGGTACATGGAAAGCTCGAAGAGAGCATCAACAGACAGACTGAGCAGTGAGCATCCCTTAATCACTTACTACAGTTTCTCAAACTCAGTCTTCTTGAAGACACCAGACACAGCACAGAAAGAACAACCAGAAAGAACAACTGGACAGGTCCAGAGAAACAATATCACACTACAAGCTTCTCACCCATTACAAATGCCTAATTGTTTTCAAATTGTTTGTTTCCTGCAGAAGAGTCCAGTGTACAGAGACTTTATTTTTTTGTGTCACATGTTAAATTTAAAATGCACTGATTGCCACATATGCTGCCAAACAACTAAGTTATTCTGAATCAGTAACCTGTCCCAATTCATACCTTTTCTTCCCCTAAGCAAACTCATCCCTTTGCCCCGTGCCAACCTTTTTGAGGATCATTGATTTTAGGAAAGGAATTAATCTCAGTAACAAGCTCTTACGTGGCTCATTTTTCAAATACAATGTAATTCAGTATCTCAGTGAGTTCCAATTTTATTAAATAAATCTAGGGCAAAACGGTTTACAGAAAAAAAAAAAGATGTCAAATCTTGCATAAGTTACTTTTACCCTGTAAGTAAAACCTGTATCAACTGCTGTATTGCCCCTAGGTATATTTATGATAATCAATAATTAGATACTGACTGGAAGTCTAGATTGAAAGCGCTGCAGTTGTAAGTTTGAGGTTAGAATGGAAAAGTCTTAGTTGCATGCCTTCATTTCCCATTAAATTTAGACTTACAGTGACTTCTTTTACAGTACAGATTCCTAACACTCCTCATTATCAGAACTTTTTGCTTCAAGATCATGCTTGTATGTCCCCACCCATCTTGACATACAAAAGCTCTTTCCTACCTGTATTCTCAGGAAAGACAGGTTCTATGCCAACCCCATGATCAGATGGTGCAGCTATCTGGGCCGAATCTCTGAGGTAGATTCCACGGTTGCTGCCAACAGTAACTGTAAAGCCGATGTTACTTGCGAATGATGAATTCTGAATGAGGTAGTCATAGGCTTTATCAACCTGTTAGAAAGAACAAGTTCTAAATTAACAAACTTCAATTCAATAGTAATTTATGCATATTCTCTTCAATATGAAGTGTTCAGCAAGCACAGCAACAATGAAGTACCTCACATGCTGAGCCACATGTGCTTCTATAATACCAAATACAGAAAGTGAGGCAACTCTTTCTGTCTGCAACAGCCACGCAGAGCCCAGAAAGCCAAGAACATTTAAAATAAAATGCCAAGTCTCCTCTGCTACAAATCCATCAGCAGATTCGTAACGCAAGTTTTCAGAGTTGACTTCAAAGACAAAGAGGACTTCAAGGTCCAAACCTATGATACTAATTCAGGTGACTTTTTCACAGGTGAAGCAATACTAATTAAACATTCAAAATTTTTATACAATAAAAAGTTGAGCAATTCAAAAGAGAGAAGCAATATGGGATGCCCATGTAAGTTTTATAAATTGGTATCAAATAAGAGAATCAGATCATGATTCTCCAGTCCCTAGGTCTAAGGAAATGAGTTGTCACACTAACCTTGCATGACAAGTTAAGTTTTTAAGAAGACACCTTTCTACCTTGCTTGCTATTTTAGAGACTATAAAAATCTTACATTCTCTTCTACTTGGAGCAAGGTACCTTCACCAGCAAAGATCAGGGTGCTCTCCTTTGAGACAAGAGTACATACAACAGACTTGTCTCACAGATCAGTTGTAACCACATTTTAACACATGCTTTAATCACAGGCTACTAAAACACAAAGTATCACTGGTGCATTTCATTTTTATGCAGCAATGTTTTTTATTTGATATTGGCTACCACCACTACCTTTTGCATCATTACAGACGTGCTTAGCAGACATTACCTACTGCATTCTAGCATCTCCAGAACGTGAGATTAGGATGGAGCAGTTAATATCTACCATCTTGAAGCACGAGAGAAAAATCTCAGTACTTCTTTTGACTACGATGGGAGTGACTGTGGCAAAAAAGAGCAGCAGCTTTATAAGAATACAAGTTTATGCATAGGGAGACACTAATTCAGTGTGCCTTCATCATACAAAGGATCGTATCAGATTGCCAAGCCCCTTAAAGTCCACAGGATACAATGAGCACTTCAGTGCAGGCCTGCAGCAAAGTCACTGCACAACTGCAGCTGTACTCCTATGTGAACCAGCGTGGGTATCTATTTTCACTGCCCAGAACTTACAGTTCCAGCTTTTGTCTGAACAGAACAAGTTCAGATCTCTCTGACAATACATAAAAGCATTTTTGGACATCAGGACAGAACTCAGGCACTCAAATTCAAATGTGGGTGATAAAAACCCACATCCCACTTTTATTTCCATGTACCTTTTGATCAGTCTAAAAATGTGTCCAGTTAACACATTTATTCTACAGCAACTGCATGTTGAAACTGGAAGAATTTCTCATTCCTTCTCCCCTCCCACTACATTCCCTTCCTCTTGCTCAATCAGATCTGAGAATCAAGTAGCATGGGAGCAAACTGAGTGAGATCGCTTAGAAAGCTGCTTTTTTGTGGGTTAATTTTCCACTGACAGTTACTTATATTATGCTGGGTTTTTTGCTAGCAAATACCTGAATAATACCATGTCCTTGCGCAAATACTTCTATGTTTTCAGCTTTCACTGCAGTATTTTCTAAAGCTCTTCTGACAGAATGTACAGTGTAGTGAATACCATTAGCTTTGAGTCCTGAAATTAAAAATAAGGGTGTTATTGGACACAACAAAAAATTTGAAAGCTACAGCATTTTTATAAGAGGAAAAACTATTTAATCTCTTTTAGATAACCCCTCTAAGCTTAACATGGTAGCACATTACCTGACAATACTAATGCAATGCCTCCACATGCATTGGGAGAAGACATGGATGTGCCATTCATGAGTTGTGTTCCTCGCAGAGTCCAGTTTGGAACAGAAGCAATAGCACCTCCTGGGGCACTAATACTTACTCCAAGGGCTCCATCAGTGCTAGTGTTAAAAAAAAAATTATTAAGAAACAAAGTTTTTTTTTAATGCACAATTTATCTTGAAGTTATCAGTATACTTCGAAAGATTTCAGCTTTAGGGAACATTCACAATCTATTACTGTATTAAATCTATTAACTCATTAAGCCAAGACAAAGGATGGCACCAGTAACAATTTAAAATGTCACATTAATCATTAGCTATGCCTGTTTTGCAGTGAAAGGTTTCTAAATTTTACCCCTTCAATACCCTTCAGTTTAGCCAGCAGAATATCTTTTGAGGTTTGAATTAGAAAATGCACACAAACAAACCTATTAAACACTTCAATACATAAAATAGTATTTTACACAGCCCATTCAATGGTTATTAATTTTAAAGAAAAGCTATAAAAGGCAGAGGAAGGCTAGAAAAGATCTAAACCCCAGATGTTTAATTTTCCATGTTGCCAGTTCACTACCAGGTCAAGTTCTGAATTACAACACACAAACCAGAAACAGGGAGAGCAGGGGAAGAACAAAAAGAATCAAACAAAATGTCAAGAGCCGGATCAGGATTAGCTAGGCCTATCTTTCACAGGCATATTTAACAACAGAGCAAGGACCTCTGGCACAGTTAGAGCAGCATCTAGTTTTCAACTCTTTGAGCTAGATATGCTACATCTTTCTTGCTCCCGATAGACAAAAACTGCATCACTTGAATAAGGACAGCACTGTACCCAAGTTATTGGGATTTGTAGAGAGGCAGGGTATTACAGGGCATTTATATACCACCCTGACAATTTCTTATATCTAAAATCTGTCTCAAATCACAGTACCTCAAGTACAATACTCTAATGTGATGTTTGGGCATATTTTATGACAGACATATATAAACCTATAGAAGGTTCTGTACCAGAACACTTCTGGACACACAGTGCACAGCACATCTGCCTGAAAGCTTCTGCTGCTTACTCAAACAGACTGATCCCCTACACTAAGGCTGCTGTAGCAAACTTGTGAACTCTCCCAGTCAGCTGCATGTTGTACCCTACACAAGAGGAATCCTGCTTTAGCCAGACTTGGGCCTTTCAGCTGACATAAGCTCACTCTGACTACTTTACAATGCACAGTGACTAAGAACACAAAATATAGGGGTTTTATATATGTGTGTGTGTATGAATATACAAATTAATTACAAATCTTTCTCCCTTTCTCAGTTGACGGTAGAGAACATATTTCTCTTTTCCCTATATGAAACATGACAGTTCTTCATAGCAAGATTCTGAAACAATATACTTGACACTATGCAAACACCATGACAACTACAGAGCAATCCTAAAGTCTAAACGCAGGCAAGAACTCAAACATACATGTACTCTTTTGTTTCTTCTCTTGTCTACCACATCGGTACCAAATGCTTCAGAGATATGACATAAAAACTGAAGTTTACATTACCCCTAAATTTTCTTTTATAGTTCTTTGAGGTAAGTTTCTAGAGTGTGAGGTAGAAAAAAAATGTCTCTGCCTACTCACACCTCTGCCAGACTCAAGCAAACCCTCGAGTAAGTTGTGTCGTTGCAGCAATGTCAGTGAAGCCAGAGGTAACACTACTGCAGTAACAGTATTTCTTTGAATCTTCAGCACTTAGAGAATATTTAACTTCAACACACTAACTTAATTAAATAAATGCTATGGAAAAAATATCTCAAAAAAACTAAATTAAAAAAAAAAAAAAAACAAACAAATTTCCAAACATTTCATCAACTTTTATCATCTCTGAATAGGTCTGCACACAAATACACTTTCCTGAAAAATACAGCTTGTGCTGAAGCCACTCAGTGGTATTCTTCCTCCCCTCAGGAGTTCTGCAGTTCAATATAATATACAAAGGCCTTCCCAGGACAGCAGGCTATCTATGCTCTTTCCACAGGAAAGAAATACTTTTATTCTGGTATTAATGACCAATTTAGATTTTTGAATTACCTCAAAGCAATGAATTTGTTCTAAAAGTATAACATACCTAGGCCCTCTGGATGACCAAGTGTATTGATTTGCAGGCAGTTTTTCTCTTAAAGAGTATTCAGCAATCATCATGTCAGGTGATACATAGGCACCAACACCTGTAAAAAACATTCAAACATTTTAGATGTAATATGAACTTTTAATAAAAGCTAAAGTGAAATATTTCTGTTGTTTAAACTCATTATGAGAAGAATTCTTGTTTTTTAAAAAACAGAAACACACATTTTCCATCTCATTAAATCCAGGTAGTTTTGCTAAGCAAATGTAAATCAGCATGCTATGCAGTAACAACACTGATGGGCATACCATGTAATATTAAAATATTATGCAAATTTCCAAGTTTCACTTTTATTCAGCTGGAATAGGATGTATTCACCTTCCACATTTCTTCCACAACAGATGCCTTTTACTCATCTCTTACTCATCTCTACTCTCTCCTGCACCTCTTTGGCTGTGTTTACACTGCTATGAACTGTAACAACCATAACTCAAAGCAATCCACATGATTTGGTTTGTGTTCATGTGGCTCACAGCTAAACCACCTGGAGCCACAACCACCCAACTCACACACAGCTATGAGACAATCATTACTGTGTATCAGTTCAATGTGCAAAGGGTACGTAAATGACTACATCAAAGCCTCACAAAGTGGCATTTGTAGAACAGAATGCCAAGGATGCCATTCACCTATTCTAAAGTGTACGTTCCACTTTGTTTACAGCACAAGCACTATCAGGATGGTAGAATTACTGCGTCAAGCTGACAAATTTGGCAAGGCCCATGTTTGTGTAAACTAAGCCAACCTGTCATCTGTATTTTGCTTTACCCTCAAAACCCAAAAAATCTTATCTGGTTCACTCCAGATGAAGGACAAGGGGCAAACTACTTGGCATGCAGAGCGAATGATCATCCAGTCTCTAAAGTGATACAACAAGTAAGTTGAATTGAGAGAGTAGATGCATTCTGAGAGCAAAGCCAATACAGACCTGAATAGAGCTTGTTAGTTCCAGTTCCAACCCCCAGTCTCAGTAGTGAATTAATTGCAGATTAACTTTTAGAAAGTAATCAGCATTAATTCTAGTAGTCGCCCTGAAACAGCAGCTCTCCAGCTTTCATGACTTCATGTTAGTCTCCTTTACATGCCAGTCTTCTTGAATGAGAATTCTGAGACTTAGCAAGCATCTTGTGTAATGCAACAATGAGACAACAGGATTTATACAAAAATTAAGACTAAGGAAGTTACCCCTGAATGTTAGACATTTTTGCTGAATTTTGTAACTCAATCTTCCACTGAAATATCAAAAACATATGTTAGCCCATCAGAAAAACAACTTCTACGCCAGTAATCGGCTGGCACAAAAGTGGCACTGCAGCTGGAAGATTCCTCCCATCAAGGACTTGTCTAGGTCCTGACATGGGATTATTTTATATTCAAATTAAGGAGATTTGTTTAACTACAAATAAAAATCAGAGTTTCTGATGAAGACAGACGATCCAAAATCACAGTTCTGACAATTCAGAATGCATTGCAAGACTCTTCAGAAGATTAACTGGAATCCAACTTAGAATCATATTTTTTACAAGTTGCATTAGCCAGCAGCAACTGGTCTGAGCAAAGCGGTGTGCTTAGACAAAAAACTAATTAAAAAACTAATCCTGGAATGTTCAAATAAATAAAACCAAAGATTTCTTTTGTACATTTGATACAAAGCCACATCGAATCAAGACCATTTGCCTCCTACCTCTCTTTTCTTCATAGGGTCCTGCAAGAATTGTAAGGAGATAATCTAAATTTTTATCCCTAAGCATACAGGAAGTGCCTCCCTCAGAATTAATCTTGTAGCCCAACAGTCTGAAATTTTTTTGGATTTAGTTCAGCAATCAAACATGTAACAAAAGCACAAAGTTTGAAAGAACAGAAGGTAAATACTGTAAAGATTTTTTCAAAACAAATTGTGTACCTATTACACTCGATGTAGTTCCACCAGGACATCCTACTGTAGAAAGGCAAGGACCATTATTTCCTGCACTTGAAACATAGATTACATTGTGTTTCCACACTGCTTCATTAATCACTTCACAAATTCTCCTGAAGTATGAGAAAAAAATAAGTCGTTTAGTCAACAATATTACTTTCTTCCACAGGACAAAATTCCCATTTCTAGTAGAACCTCTGAGCAGTCACCAAACAAGGAATATGAGGGCCTGTTTCCCACACCTGGCAGAGGTGGTTCCAGTACAGAAGTTGACCACAAAAATACCTTCTGGTTTTAAAAAGGAGTAACAGTTATAGCAATCTTAGGTCTTCAAAACATACTCCACAGATTATGTGGTATTGCAGCTACAAAAATATTAATCTAAAATATTATTTATATATAGAAATTTTTATATTACATATTTGTATGTATATTATAAATTATAGCTTTTTGGATGGGTTTATCTAACTTTCAAAGACAGTTTAAAATGTAAACTGCAGAGTTTCTAACACATGAATCATATAGGTCTGGACAATTCATTCTTAGTGACAGCTGATTTACACAGAGCTCAACAAATATAATTCCACTTCTGTGAAATTGAAATATACTTTAACTACAGTACTACTCACCCAGAATTTGGCCAGTGTGTTGCTTCTCCATAGCTATAGTTGACAAGATCACATTTGTATTTTATTGTTTCTATCATCTGATAAAGCAAAAATAAAAGCAAAAATATATACTAGTCACAGAATAAGTCACTTAAAGAATGACAAAAAACCTTCTGCTTGAACTGATCTGCTACTGATATGTAAGAAAGTGGGATAAATCTCTTTTGACTCTAGAAAATAATTCACTTCCATCAGTTATTTAAGTGCTATTTTCCTTATGAACAAAGACAATTAAAACAAACCAATCCCTGAACTACCTTATTCTTGTCATGTTCCAAGCTATAAATTAAGACATTACCCTATGAGAAAACTGCAGACATCATCAGTACTGTCACTAATGTCTGTCCTCAATAACATAAAATTCGCCTTTTCCTGTGCGGTTCAACAGAACTCTAAAAAGTTGCAAAAACATTTATTTTACATCTTCATGTTGCTCTATCAAAATGTTCTATGGGCCAGAAACATAATTTTCTATTTTCAGATCCTTTTCTTGTGTAAAGTTTTTCCCCATCAGTTCACTAAATGGAAAAGGTCTTGGGTCTTTCATCATTAAAAGAAATTATATTTTCCTCACTTGTAATAAAAAGAGTTCACACAAACTCAGCCACATAGGTAGATACTAGTCTCTATTCTAGATTTAAGTCTTCTATAATTATCTAAGTAACTATAAGAAATACAACACAAAGACTTCTAAGCAGTCATGCATGCAACTTCACCCATGTGTCAAGCTTGACAGACACAATGCAAGTCTGTCAGTCTGAAAAAATTTTAAGTGCTCTATGCAACAGAAGTCTTGTTTTGTATTAAAACATTAGTCTTAAAATATGCTTTAAAATACATTTTAGTTGTTTTCGTGGTTTTTTTTAGGATTGGGTGGGGGGGTTGTTTTGTTGTTGTGGTTGTTTTTTTGTTTGGTTAGTTTTTTTGTTGTAAATACTGTAGAACCATAAAAACATAGCCTATAAGCCAGAAGAAAGGTTCACAATATTCTACACTTTAATCACAGCACTGAGATTAATAATACCCACAGCTCTTATTAGACCAGTGCCAGTTTCCATTGTACTTAGTCTCGTATCGCCAATCTTAATTGCAAGAATCTGAGCTCCAGGAGCCACACCATTTCGTTCTGGTTCTTCTGGAAAGTATCCAGCTGCAATACTCGCCACGTGTGTTCCATGAGCTCCTGCACAAATGAAAAGTATGTTTAGTGAATTTCATTTTTATCAATTTAATATACTACAGCTCAACTAATTTTCACTTATTGAGCTATAACAATATAAATCCAGTCAGTGGCCAGTCACCAGTGATGTTCATCACTGGACATCTGGACAAGGGGATCAAGGGCACCCTCAGTCAGGTTGCAGTCAGCAACAAGCTGGGAGAAAGTATTGATCTGATAGGATCTGATAGGATAGGAAGGCTCTGTAGAGGGATCTGGACAGGTTGGATCAACTGAGGCCAGCTGAAGGAGGTTCAACAAACAGCTTTTCGACGAGAGAAAGGAGGCAGCAGGCAGAGAGAAATGAAGTATAACTGAATTCCACTGACAAAAGTTCCACTTCAAAGCCTCAATGCTTCCTACTCAAAGTTATCAATATTATACCTGAGATGACTTGGATAGTGGGGATTAGGAAAAAAAAAATAGAACTGCTTAGTAATACAGAAAGGAATGTCTCAGAAAAATTACCAACTATTTAGAAACCATAACTGCTTTTGTAGTTGTTTTGTAGTGGGGATAGTTTCATAAGGAATTAAGATCATTTTTCAAATCAAATACATCCCTACCACCCTAACCACTCAGGTTGTTTCCAAAACATGATTATTTAAAGAGTACACCACTATGGGTTCAGAGCAGTTGGAGCTACAACTATAGAGACACCTGACATCACTAAAAAAAGTTCGTATGAACCTAAATAAAGATCAACACCCATTTTGCTCATGGTATACAAGCACAAAGCATAGCAACTAAAAATCAATCATCACTCTATAGTTAACAAACAAAACAAAAGGGTATTTTGAAAGAAGGCTCTCTCTAGTTTAGGCTTTAAGCTGCAGGAACATCTTAATGAGTACCTAAGTATACACATTCTATGTATACATGCTTATGTACCCAAATTTGACAGTATTTCAGAGAAAAATGTTAAGTCAGTTTGGTAATGAGCTGTCATTATAGGTTTAGTTCAGGAAATCTGAATATCAATCTTAAATGCCATAATAATGAATGCTGTATTAAGACAGCTGCCTTAAGCCATCCCAAGCATCAGAATCAGGACCCAATAAAAATCACTATTTCTCATGACATCTACGCAGCAGCAAAATACTCTTAAGTTTACTTTCATTTACCTCCACTTGTTACAATGGACAGAAGGTTTCCATCATCATATATATTCACAGAATAATTCAACATCTCAGATGTCCCAAAAGATCCATATTCCTGAGCCTCTTTGTAGGTTCTCAGCACTGTACAGTTAGTTAAATCACCACTCTCGCTTGTATCTATGCAGGCTCTGTTGACAAAAAAAACAAATAAAAATACAATTTTCCAGTTGCTGCAAACTTTTTGTTATCTCCCCCCTCCAGCACAACATACCACAAAGACTTCAAGAAGTTTGGTTCTGTGTTTATGGTATCTTACTTCTTCCAGTCGCTATTTTAAAACCTGGTTGTTTACACTTAGACTCAGAAATTACAAAGACTTCTAAATAAACTCATTGCCAAATGCTACTAAATTCAAATAAATCCAAGCATATGAAAATTCATCCAATTTCAGGGAAGAAATTTTACTAAAGCTACCTGTTCAGGGCTGGTACACAAACATTTGAAGTCTTACTCACTGTTTCATATAATGCACATTATCAGTCAAGAAACGTGCCACGTTACAGCCTGAAGTCTGTGCAAACACACCTGTTTTGTTTCAGGACTTTTTTTTCCTATCCCCAATGGATTCTTAAAGCCATTTTATTCTCCTTCAGAAGGAAATCCCACAAGCTTCTGCTCATATCATGCTGTCTTCAATTTTATTCTACCCCATCTTCATTTGGGATCGGAATCTTGTCAAGAAGCTCAACTGATATAGCAGGATTATTTTAAAGCAAAATATATTTAAAACCTCTATAAAGAGGGCAGATTTAAAAATTAACAAGAGTCTTCATTGCAAATTGCTGTTTTATGTGTAGAACAAGACATTTTACACAAGTTTAGGCATTTACCTCCAGGTCTCACCATCATTCCACACTAAGCAATCATATACTGGGCCAGGATCACTGTATTTTTTCTCAAAAGAATTCAACAATTCCACTTGATTTTGAAGTTCTTCCTTTATTAGCTTATTTACCTAATAAGGCAACCAAAACTCAGTTAGAGTGTTTCTAAAATTATTACAAGATAGGTAATCCTAAATTCCCTTCTGATGCTACACATTTGTTCCCTTGCTTCCTCAGGAATGTTAGACTATCCTAGGAGTCACAAACATCTAGTAGTTCAATGGCCTCCAACAGCACACTACTTATTTTCAGCCAGTTACGCAAAACTATTTCCAATTCCTGTAATCGTGACATTTAAAGTCATTATCTTTTTAAAGATTGTTAAATGATAAAGGAGTAACCTGAGGCATTTCTGGTACTTTATTGGAATAGTACATAGTTTACAAATGAAAGAATACGTTAAGAAGATTCCAACTTTGAACAAAGCATAGACGGTAGCCCAAAAGAACAGCACATTAAATTAAAAATAAAACTTACTAAAAGTGTCCTACAAAATTTTTCAAGTACATATTCCACAACAACTTCAGAAAGTTAACAGCACTAAGCAAATCAAACAACCATCCATATAAAAACTTTTTAAATAATCAGAAAATACACTGGTAAGTTATCTGCCAAAATAGTCACAAGTATCTTTCCTTCACTCATCTAATGAAATATTTTAACCCTGTCAACCAGTAACAAATTGTTGCAAACAACAAGTTTATAAATTTAGACTCTGCAAACCTGTGAGGGAGAGCTAAGAGCAGCATCAAATTCTTCTTGTTTCCTACAGGCCTCTGCTAGAGCCAGTCTGTGAACAGGATCCCAGAGTTTTTCCTTACGTTCTTTCTGTAAAACAAAATCAGGTTCCTGACTAGACTGACAAATACATGTCAAAGTATGAAATCTTCAAAAACAATTTGAAAATTCTCATTTGACACACAATGGCTAAAAGTGTCCCATACGATACTATAAATAAACATAAACTGCCACACAGAAAAAAATGAGTATCAGTAATTTCTATACTTTTTGCCTGAATGGACCACTGAGCCACCTGCTTTTGCTCTGAAAAATCACAGAAGAAATTGATCATACCAAAAATAAACAAAAATCAGTGAGAGAATAGCACTCAAGTGCTGCCTAGCAGCCTAAACGTGCTAGCAAATCACATGCTGTGGTTTTTCAAAAAAAAAACAAATTAAAGAAATAGAACAGTGAAATATGACTACACACCAAAACCAAAAGGTATTTCCTTACCTGAATCCTCTCCTTAAGAGCTTTAGGATAGATATCATAGCCATTTTTTATGCCAATGTGATATTTGCCTGAAGGATTTACCCACTTTGCTGGAATCTACAGAAAAGTATATTCAGAAATAGAGTTAACTAACAGCATTAAAACAAAAAAAAAACCCAAACAAAACACCAAGAAAAAAAACCCCAACAAAAAAAATCCCCAACACTGTGTAACATAACTTAGCAGAACAGACTTGCAAATACTGCCAGTTTAATTCCCTGTCTCCAGGACAGCAACTACTGCACTGTTTCAACAACAGGACATGGCAATTTCAATCTAGTTCCAAAAGAATAAGTATCAGTTCCTGTGACACTGTCATTGAACATCTTTAAGTATCAGCTTCCGTGATACTCTACTTTTAGAACACAAAGCCCCAGCAGTGACTTTACTGCTCAGAGGTCTGGGGAAATAATAGTACTATAAATGAAAAGACACACCCTTGTATGAAGGAGTATTGTAGCTGGAAGTCATGACACACATCTCACTTTATATTTGGTGCTATTTAGATTCAGTATATCAGATCCACTAATCCTAGTTAACAACAGCAGAAGAGCAACATATTCACCCTTAGAGTTATCTTCTGTGCAAAATTAAGAAGAAAGCTGATAGTATGGAGAGATTTAAAGATGTGATGATCCCATATCACATCATCAATCCAACCAGGAAATCAAGAACATGTCACAACATCAGCAGTTCTGTGCACTCAAGACCTCTACTAGATCTCATTGTGTGTTTCTGAAAACCCCAAAACATTTCTACTCTATGCATAGTGAGAATTCAGTCAGCCAACATCTAAGTTGTCACAGATTTTTCAGTCTCTAAAACTATTTACCATGAGCTTAGCACAATTCTTCTTGTAGTTTATGCAAATGTTGAAAACAGAAGCACTTTTAAAGACAGAATTGTGTTTGATATTCTTAAAGCACGTTAGCATGTTTTCTTCAGAAAGTTTCCAAAGGTATATCATATACAGCTTTGAATAAATAATTAAATTATAATCAAGCACCCAACAAAACCTTGTACACACCCCCATTCGCCTACAGAAAATATTAAAAAGAAAGACATTTGAAAAGTAAAAGAAACACTAAGCAATCTGTATGAAGATGATCAAGTCCAGTATTAGCTTTGGATAAGATCTAGTTTAGTGATTTTGGTTGGGCTGGGTTTGATTTCCTTCACAGTAGCTGGTATGGGACTGTGTTTAGGATCTATGCAGAACACAGTGTTAATAACGCAGGGATATTTTAGCTGTTGCTGAGCAGAGTCAAGGCTTTTTCTGTCTCTCACCCCACCCCACCAGTGAGCAGGCTGGCCATGCACAAACTGTTGAGAAGGGGACTCAGCGAGAATAGCTGAGGGGTATCCCATACTGTATAGTGTCATGCTCAGCATATAACCCGGGAGAACAGGGGGGATGTTCAGAATGATGGTGTTCATCTTCTCAAGTCACCATTATCCACAGAGTCATAGAATCATATGGGTTGGAAAGGACCTCTGAGATCATTAAGTCCAACCCTTGATCCACTACCACTGTTGTTACTAACCATGGCACTAATGCCACATCCAGTCCATGATGGAGTCCATCTTTTCTGGGTATGGCTGTTTACCTGCCTGCCCATGAGAAGGAGTGAATGAATTCCTCTCAACCCATGGGTTTTCTCACTTTTACCCTTCTGATCCTCTTCCCCTCATACTGCTGGGGGGGAGGGTGAGCAAGAGGCTGTGTGGTGCTTGGTTGACAGCTGAGCTTAAACCACAAAATCTGGTTAAACGGAAGTTAAGTTCTGTAGAAACCAAAATAGATGTTATATTTTTTGTTAAGCAATCAAGAAGATGTTCAGTGGTGTCTCTGTACTACCAAACACTCACCTTTAAAGTTCTTCCAGAAAGACCAGTAATTTCTCCATCTTTAGGTTCTACAATGGTACATGTAGTTACATCACCACTGCCTGTTGTGTCAATTATATCAACTATCTTTGGTTTCCCATCAGTCGTAATCTGAAAATATAAGCACCAGAAAATTGAAAATGTAGTTGATTACCCTTAAGTGCACAAACCAGGAAAATTTTTAATTTTTCCTATTAAAAATAGCAACTAACTTTCTAAGACACCAAACTTTAACTGAAGGATATAAACCCAACTTGAACTTGGTTATATTTTAAATGAACGAAGACCAACATGTTCATCTTTCTGGTTTATACAGATCTACTTATTTCTAATAAGGACTTAAAAGAGAAACAAGTAAAACCACTGTATCAACAAAGCACATGCAGCCTCACTTTAAAACCACACTGAAATCTGCAAAAACTATATTTTGTGGTCAAATTATTTGGTGTGTTGCTTCCATCTGCCCATTCTGGTCAAATTTTACAGTAACGAGTGCACAACTAACAAAATAAAAGGTGAAGTACAAGCTCTCAGAAGCTTTAGTCTGTTAACTGAGCTTAAACCTAAAAGGAACACAAGTTACCATCATCTCCTTTTTCCTCTTTCAAGGACTTTGCTTCACTGTTAGTAGCTATGGCTATATACTCCTAATACTCATATAAGGAGCATTTTTACCAGAACGAGGAGAAGAAGAGCTGACTACCTATGAGGAGTTTATGAGCATACATTTAAAGCCTCCTCAAATCAGATCAAAACTAGCCCTGATGGACTTTACAGTAGTTGTGGGTAACTAAACAACATCAAAATAGAAACTACTAACCTATCTAATGTCCCTTTTACCTAGAGGAACCTCCTACACAATTACCAACAGTATAGTTAAGATTTTTTTATTCATTTAACTTATAGCAAAAACACCCAAAGTTACTTTCTTGTAATAACATTCTTCATCTAGGATCTACTGCAGCAGTTTATTCAGCAAATAAACTATACTCATATACAGTAGCATTTGCCTGAAGGGCAATATGAATTCAGAGGGCTGGAGCTCCTCTCCTATCAGAACAGGCTGAAAGAGCTGGGGTTGTTCAGCATGGAGAAGAGAAGGCTCTGGATAAACCTTATAGCAGCCTCCCAGTACCTAAAGAGGGTCTTAAAAAAACTGGAGAGGAACTTGTTAGAAGTGCACAGACAGTGATAAGACAAGGGGGAATGACTTTAAACTAAAGGAGGGTAGATTCAGACTAGAAATAAGGAAAAAAATTTTTACTATCAGGATGGTGAAACACTGGAATGGGTTACCCAGAGAGGTGGTGAATACCTGGAAATATTCAAAGTCAGGTTGGACAGGGCTCTGAGCAACCTGACCTAGTTGAAGATGTCCCTGTTCATTGCAGGGGGATTGGACTAGCTGGCCTTTCAAGGTCCTTTCCAACCCAAATCATTAGATGATTGTATGAATTGATCATACACACATATTTTTCCAGTCCTATATTAAAGACTGATTTAACCAAAAAAAAAAAAAAAAAAAAAAAAAAAAAAAAAAAAAAAAAAAAAAAAAAATCAATCATCTTCTCAACATCTCCCATAAATTAATTACACTGAAAGTGCAAAAAGATTCTTATTCAGGAAAGCAGTCACGGCTGCCAAAGCCCAAACAAAAAACAAAGCAAACCCCATAAAACCCAAAAAACAGTCCCCCCAAAACTCAACAACAAAAAAACCCAACCCAGAAAAATACCAAGCAACATCCCAATAAAAACAGGCAAAATCAACAAAAAAACAGAACAAACAAAAAATTCCAAACCCACAGTAACCATAAAAAGAACATCAATTTCATTTCCCAGAAACAAATATGAAGAGTCTTGTTAAGGAAGAACTTCCATTGCAGAAACCAACACTGCTACTCTGTTCATAGAAATTCATGTTCACTTAAGAAAACCATTAAAGCATGTTAACCTGGTAAAACATCCACCGAACAATAGTTACAAAGTAATGAAAATTTACTTGGGGAACAGCGCACAGGCACTAAACCAATATAATTTTCTAGCATTTGTAGTTAATGCCTTCAAATGTGAGTCTCAACTCACAGAAAAGTCAAGAGCTGCTCCAACGATAAAGCAACTGCAAACCAAACCTGAGATTGGCAGCACTGGACATTTTTCGATATGTCTTTACTCAAAATGAACTACTGAGTCATCAAAGTACAAGAAATCAAGAATGAAAAGGTAATCCAAGGTGACTTGTTTGAAGTAGGCAAGTTATACAGCAACAGGTGGCCAGAACATAGATTTATGCTGCAGCAAGCTTGGGTAGTTTTAGAAGTTGTTTTCTAGCCAGATAGACAACATGCAACTCCTACACTATATGGCTCTTTGCCTCCTAGCTGAGTCCCAGCAGGTCTGCACATGCACGTGAGTTTGTACAGTCAGAACCAACAAATCAAAGTCTTCCAGTCAGACACACGAAACTCAAGAGTTTCACACGGTCCAAGGTTCAATTCCTAAAAGCAGCAATTCAGACAGGTTCACGGTCCTTTAGCGCAAGTAACCGATACGGCTGCTTCTGCTGACCCGAACTGCTGTTCGGCACACTGCCCACCGGCAGTAAAGCTACAGCGTAGCCCAGAGTTCAGCTCTGTTCTGCTTTTCAAGTCTTGTAATTCTGAGGGAAAAATGATAATAATTTAAAAAATAATTAAGTGAACTTGATCAATTCCCTTACATGAACAGAAAAGTCTGAACTACTGAACTGATTACAAACAGAATATACATTTTAGTACTTTTTGCATTAAAATTCAAAAAATTAAGAACTCTCATACAATTAAAAATATTTTATATTGTATCTATAAAAAACTCCTCAATCCTACCTTTATTATCATGGCTTGCCTATAGCCATTTGAGAAACAAGTAATAGTCTAGTAGTTTAAAACTGAAACTTTGTTGTTTATACATTTCTGCTGGAAGTTTGAAAAACCTACTTACATGTTAGCTCCAATTTTGTAAAACAAATACATTGATAAATTGAGCACACTAAAAATAATCCATCTGCATAATCCTGGTAACCGACCAATATAACAGAAATAGAGGAGCACCAGTATTTGTGTCAATTCAAATTGAAAAGGGAAAGCCAGATGCATTGAGCAGGTTTTTGCCAGCCCATACAATGTTACTGACTCCAACTGACAGCTACTGTAGCAACAAGAGCTGAACAAATTTTTCAGCACTTGGGTCATGGGACAGCTGGTCATCATAATCACAAATAAAATAATTTTCAAGCAACTCAGAGGTGAAAAGCAAGTAAAACCAAACTAGCTGCTACTGCTAAAAGGTTTTCATACAAAAGTACCATTTAACTGTAGTAAATAATAACTCCAGTAGGCACTTAACAAAATAAATAAATTTACAAGAAGCAGAGGAACCAACTTATCTATCATGGAACATAAGAAGTCACAACAAAAAAAGGGAATGGACAGGGTGGGGTTGAACAAAGACTATACACATACAACAACACTCCATTAAACACGCCTTATCTGCCTACCTAAAATGTCATTAGTTGCTGTGCCCTACTAAGGAATTACAAGCCATGACTTGGCAGATAGCAATAGGAAGTGGATTCTACCAAGAAGGGCTGAAAGGGAAAAAAACAGCACCGATGAAGCAGACAAACTGTTGAGTTGGCATCAAAAGGTGGAGCATAAAGCAACAGAACATGGTGTGAAAGAAGTTCCCTAGAAGGCACTGACTACAAAATGTTCATAAAGAAATGGAAAGTAAGTACAAGTTATATTAATATTTTGTGTGGCAAAGCAAACCAACCAATAGAAAAAAATAAGGTTTGTTAAACCTGATAACTATTCTGTCTATAGCAGCAAGCATTCAGGGAAGAATCTAAACATTATGGTATTTCTCTGCTTAACTCTGTTCCCAGATCTTTTTGTCCCTTGTGAAGGGGACAAACTCTGGTATCAGTGTTTACAAACCAAGTCATAGAATCAACACAAAGAGGAAACCTACCCGGGAATGAAACACTAGGGAGCAGCAGAGAAATAAACTGTTTTGACTAAAAACCCCACTATATTGAAAACAGGGTAGCTCATTTTGGTCTGTAATCATTATTGCCATTAATCTGAACTCAAAGTTGCAATACCTATAAACCCTGCTGAACATAATGTCTTCTCTTCCCTCTAAGCAACTGATTCACCTCTCATAGATTAATCCATGCCAGGCCAAGAACTGAGACTTTAGAAGCTACTTCTTGCAGTACAGCTATGCTGTCTCACTGCCTGTGCCCAGGATACTGATTTATTGCATGGAGGTGAAATGTAAGCTGCCCAATACTCCAGAGAGTGAGGACATCCTCTTGCTGAAGAAATACCTACAAAGCTATTCTACAGGCTGTGTGCAGGCTATATCTCCTTTATAATTCCCTGTGCAATGAGCCTCCCCAGTCTGTAGTTCAGCAAGTGGTTTAAGCCAGGTATTAACTGGGAAGTGTGGAGAGAGAATACAACTTTTTTACATGTTTCTCTAACACCCCTGCAAACTTACTCATTTCAACACAAATTCCAGCCCCCCTCCAAAGTTTCTGACAAATTTTTTACTTAACTACCTGAAATTTTATCCTGCATATAAGGGAAATAGGCTGAAGAAAATTGATATGGTCAGCACTGAGATCATGATGGTTCATAAGCATCCCTTATGAACCTTGGGTTACCTATCCAGAACTAACCATCCCATTCCTGTCCATAAACTCATATTGTTGGTGGTGTTGTCTAGTCCTCGTGTATAACCTCTAAAGATTTAGGGTTTTTTGCTTTTGTATGTGAAACTTCAGAACTATGCATTCACATCTTCCCAATTATCTTTTATAACTTTCTGCCCTGCCCATGGTATTATCTTGCTTGCTTTTTGTCTAGCTTTCATTAAGCTTCCCAATTACTATTACACTTACCCACAACTCTTGCCAAAAGCACCAGCTTCATTTCAACCTAAATCCATCGAAGTTACAGCCACTCAGTTCCTCCTTCCACCCTACCTGTCCTCTTCACTCATCCCTTTGCTTAACTGAATCCTATAAGGAGTAATTTCCGAGCACCTAACTAATGATCTGCCAGGGTCAAGTCCCTTAATGAGGTCACTTAGGAGTTAAATCTGCACCAAAGAAACGGCACAAACCAACACAAGCTCTGCTTAGTCAAAAAAATAAAGGATGCAGTATCCAAGCGAGTTGCATTCAATTCTGAATCTTTCTTCACGGCCTCTTTTGCCACAACTCACAGAAAACATGTTGACAAGAAATAGGAAGCAATACTGACACAAAAGGCCACACGCAAACTTACACGGTATGGAAATGTTAAGAGACAAAGGTTAAAAGAGATAAGTGCTGAGAAATGCCCAAATTGAAGTCACGCACAGAGAGATTTACAAAACCGAGATGGAGATAACAATGGTAATCGTTGAGCGATCTGGGATACAAAGCTAGCACATTCAAAAAAAGCTGGCAGAATCGAATCTGATACAGACTGTTATTGCAATACAACGCACGAAAAATACACTGAGAAAGACTGGTGTGCAAACTGTGCCAGAAATACACTTTTCATGTAAAAGCCCTGGGCAGCCGAGTGTAGCCCCTAGTGACCCTCTGCCGAGGTAGCGCTAACAACTCAAAAACACAAAGCGTTCTTTTATAACGAGCTCTGCGTGAGAGGCGTTAGCCGAGGAGATTTAAGTGCCATAAAACGCCTGTGGACGGCTTAGGAGGATCCTCACAGGAGTGCCCGGTGCGGAGGTCCCGGCTCCGGCATCTCCCCGCCCTCCCGCACCAGCTGCCGAGCGGGAACCGGGAGCGAACACACCCAGACAAGCCCGTGGGACGGCAGTCCCCGGGACAGCCCCCCAGGGGCCTCCCCGACTCTCGCCGCTGCCTCGGGCCCCCGCTCTCGGCCCCGTACCCGCAGAGGGGCCGGCGCGGCGGGGCCCTGGCGCTGCCCGAGGGCCGGGCCGTGACACAGGGCCGCCCCGCGCTACCTGCATGCCCGGCGCCCCGGGGTCCACGCCAGTGTCCAGTACGGCCAGCAACACCCCCCGCCCGTCGAAGTCGGGGAAGCGGGCGAGGAAGGCGGCGGCGCCGGTCTCCTTCTTGGGCAGGAGCCCGTGGAGTGGGAACGGCTCCTCGGCCGCGGCCGCCATGGCGAGAGACACCGGGGCGCGGGGCCGGCGCGAGCGGGGCCACGGGGGATAGCCTGGGAGAGGCCACGGCGGGGGCGCGCATGCGCGGGATCCCCCGCGGGGGCGCGCACCCTCTTGCGGCCCGCGGCGCGAGGAGCACTGGGGCTGAAAGTGACCAATGGGGCGCCGAGGAGGGCGGGGCCTGTTGGAGGGGCAGCCAATCGGAGGAGGGACGCCCTGCACGCGCCAGGCGCGCAGTGTCGCGGCGGGCACGTTAGTCAGCGGCGGCGGAAGGGCAGGGGGGGGGAGCCACCTTCGGGCGGCGCCGCCCGGGGCAGGAGGCGCGGCTCCCCCTCAGCGCTGGGGTCCGGCCGCGGGCCGGCCTGGGGGACCGGCGGTGCTGCAGCACGGGGGGCACGGCGACCTCCGCGTCGGCAGCACAATCGCAGAATCAGTTTGGCTGGAAAAGACCTCTGAGATCATCGAGTGCAACCCAGGGCCGAATACCACCGTGTCATCTGGGCTGAGTGCCGCGTCCAGTCTGCCCTTTAACACTCCAGGGACGGTGACTCCACCTCGCTGGGCAGCCCATTCCAGTATCTAATGACCTTTTCTGTGGAGGATTTCCTCCTAATGTCCAGCCTGAACTTCCCCTGGCACAGCTTGAAGCCGTGTCCTCTCATCCTGCCATTGGCTGCCTGGGAAAAGGGGCCGCCCCCCACCTGGTTATATCACTCTCTACTTTCAGTAGAGTGGTAAGGTCACCCTTGAGCCTCCTCTACTCAATGAACCAATGTGCAAACATTTACTTAATGATTTTTTTTTCTTTTTTCTTCTGCTGATTCATTGTCCGTGATTAAAGCAGGTCCTGCGGCAGCAGTGCCAGCAGGAGCGCGACGTCTCCATTGCTGTGGGTTGGCACAACCTCTATAATGTGTTGCACAGCAACTGGGTGTTTGTGCAACAGTTGAACAAAGAGGAGCATAAATAATAAAAAAAAAAACCTAAACAAAGAACCAAAAAGAAACCCAAAAAGACAACCTAAAGGGAAAAAAACAAAACCCCAAACATAAAAAAACCCAACAAACAAAAAAACTCCACCCAAACCAAACCAAAAAGACTACCTAAAGGCTGTGGGGGGCTCCAAATAAAATTTTTGGTGAAGTTGTTGAGGGAAAATCTCAACTTTGAACAGGGGTTTTCAAGGTATTTTTCTAGCTTTCATGCTGTCATGCAAATTTGCAAAAATCCCACTGAACTGTGAAGTATCTGAAACCAAATTCACACAGAACTTCCTTTGATGACTTATTTGTAGTGTCAGACACGTGGCTCTGTAGCCATTTTAACTGGTAATGAGTGTAAAACTGGTTGGTTTCTAAGGTATCACTTTGCTTTCTTCAAGCTAGTTTCTATTCAGAGAGTCACCTTGGGAGAGAAAGGTCGAGTTTGGCTGCATTAACACGTTCACTGTAAAGCAAAGGGGATTTTGGCTTTTGGGAATTTTTTTCAACACGTAATTTTTTTGTTTGTTTCGTGGGTCTCATTAATGTTTGTCAGACGTTAATCTTCATTGGAATAGAGCTGGCATTTGTTCTTTCCTAGCAGAAGTGGGGGGAGGGTTGCTAGCAAATAGTGGTAGTTTATGTATTTTTCCCATTTTGTCAGCTTCCTTCAGCATTGTCTTCCAGTTCATCAATGGCTCTAGAGATCTGCAGGATTTTTATGCAAATACTAAAATAAATCTGAAGAGCACTGCCCTAAAAACACATATTATTAAAAAAAAAAAAAAAGCCAAAGCTGTACCGTATGTACTTAGAATGTAACTAAATCTGCTTCCCACTCTGGTTTTCAATCATAAGTCAAAATCTCACATTTGGTGTCTAAGTGCTTGACTTTCTTGGAATACTGCTGGTGTCTGACAGACATATTCAGATTTTTTTGTCGTAACTACGTGAAACCTTGACTGATCTTACCTCAGTGAAGAGAATTATTCTGACACAGTGGTTATTCACTTGTTTAATATGTAATTCACAGCTCCTTTGACTTGAGTTTTGCTTCTGTGTATCATTGCTAGTGCATCTAAATTGGAGCGGCTTCTATTTCTGGTAGAACATTGAGATCAACAGAAGTCTAATATATTCTATCACTAGTAGACTTTGAGACCCTAAACGACATCAAATTCTCCAAATGTTTAATATCCCATTCAATGAACAAGCTGTATGTTATAATTTGGAAACATTTATTACTAACTCTGACAGCTTCTGCTCTATTCTTTTGCCTTGGTCTCAGTTATACCACAAACAACGAATCTAATTAGCAGGTACATTAATTGTAAAGGTGTGTATAACTCAGCGATGTGCACTGCCAAGTAGCAGGGCAGGTTCTACAGGAAAAATCAGGATTTGAGGAAGGTGTGCCAAACACCTTTTAACAAACATTACACAATACCAGAGAAGAAAAAAACCTAATTTCAGTGACAGCCTTTAAAACATAACTATTGTGTTAATTGTATGAATACAACTGCAGTGTTAGGACACAGGGTTAATGTTAAGGTTGTGCACCTTACTGAGCCTTTGCAGATCTGACTGTACCAAGAATTTGGGAGTTTTACATTTAATTCTGAGCTTCTCAGGTTTCTTATGTTTAGTTTTCTAGGTTAACAGTTGGGCTGACACTGCCAGCTACTCCACTAAACCATGCTCCCAAACACCACATCTACATCTGTTTAAATACCTCCAGGGATAGTGATTCAACTAATTCCACAGGCAGCTTGGGGACAGATTTTTTGAAGGACATGTAGAAATAGGACTACTAAGGATAGATTCAGACTAGATATAAGCAGACTTTTGTTTTACAATGAGGGTAGTGAAACATTGTAACGAATTGCCCCGAGAGGGGGAGGATGCCACACCCCTGGAAACACTGAAGGTCAGGTTGGACTAGCTCTGAGCAACCAGGTCTAGTTGAAGATGTCCATACCCGTTGCAAGGGGATTGGGCTAGGTGACCTCTTAATGTGTCTTTCAACCCAAACCATTTTATGATTCTATGAACATCTAAATGTTTTCCCTTGGCTAGATTTCTGTGGGCATGTGATGCCCCACTCAGATTCAGCTCTGAATACTCCCAGTATGGCTGTGTTTCTAGGTCTGAATCCGAGACCTGGCAAAGCTGCTCCAGTCTTGACAGCCCTGATTAATTCCTCACGTTGCACGTGTTAGGCCTGTCAGGATGCGGAGATGGCCGATGACCGCCTTCGATTTCATGTGCAGCCTAATGCACTGCAGATAAGGAGGCTGAGGATACTTGCTGCATCTTCTGCCTGATGTTACACCCAGAAGTCAGATGCTGGACTTCAAATTTCTTTTCTGTCTGAGCATGCATCTTTTTGCAAACTAAATGCTCCTACTGCTGCAGGGTTCTCTCTGAGTCAGGTGTTTTTGTTTTGCATGGAAGCATCCCAAAGTGAACCCGGAACAACATGACCTAATATCTTACTAGTGCAGGCATTGACGTGGATGGAGAAATACTGGGGTTTTCATTCTTTTTCTAATTAAGGTTAAATTATTCTATACAAAGTATCAGTTGGAGTTGAGCATGAACTCTTTAAATTTCAGTTGCAAGCAATTACCTTAGTCACCATGTTACAGATTTCGCCCACTCTTGTCTTGTTTCAACCCTGCCTCAGTTACAACATGTGGAGAGAAGGAATGAGCCTACCAATTATTCAGGGAGAGGAGGTGTTTGATCAAATTACATTGGGCAAGGCAGGTATTTTAGTGTTCTGAGCGAATTCATTAATTACCAAGGTGCTCAGTAGAGACTCCTCCTTACTCCTCCTTTAGGAGTGAGGGTTAACTTCAGTGTCTAAGTCCTAGGACATAATGGGGTTAGATGATCCTTAAATGAGGTAGAAGTCAAGATGCACTTAATTCCTGCCATTGGCTTCTGTCTCCATTCCATTCATATTGGCTCTTGTTATTCCCATGTAAGTTTAAAACAACACAAATACTCCAGAAAAAACAGTTTCCCACTCCCTTCCAACCTGATCCTTGGCCATTCACTCTCGTTCTTCTGCTTTCCAATCACTTGTGCTGGTATGGCTTCAAGATGGAACAGATAAAGGAATAAATCTGGCTGAAAGCTATCCCACAAAGCTATCTCCAGCTGGTAGCTGAGACAGATTCCTCTAACACCTCTTACATGCTTGTGTTGGTACAGAGTGATGGTCCAGCACATCATTCCACAGTCAAATAGACCACGGGATTAAGGCACTGCATGGGGAACCTTGGCCACTGAATGTCATCTGCAACACACTTTGTCAGGGAAGCTGGATTTACGGGATTTGAGTTTTGTTTACCAGGTACTGTACTGGGACTTCTACAAAGTGCCAGGATAGCTAGAAGCCTGTGTAAGTCTTTTTGGTGGATCTATTTAATAAAGATTTTCAGAGAAGGCTCAGTCCTAGTTTTTTTTCTTTGATTACTAGAGAACAATTCAGCATGGACAGAGTATCAAACCCACAAAGTGAGCAGTTTGACAGTGTTTCTTCACAGAGAAAAAAACATATACCCACCTTCTGGTTGTGACAACAAATCCTCAGCGTTACCTTTGTGAAGGTATTTACCTGGATGGGTCAATTTGCCACATTCTTCTCCTGATAAATATAAAATAAGAAGTTCATTGCATACATATAACATGATGAGATCATTAGTAGACAACAGCTGGCATTACTTTCCATCATAATCATGTATGTCTGTCAGAGTTAGCAGTAGCTAAAACTAATGAATTCCTATTGTTCTCTGTCAGACTTTTGGGGTCCAGCTAATGGTTTTGGGGTGTATTTTCATTTACAAACTTATCTGAAATTGTCTGAAAATATATCCATATGGAGAGTTGTTCATATGTTGCTTTAAACCCTTTCTCAAGAATGCTGCTCAAAGAAGTTACTAGTCTTGAAATTTTAAGAAGTCATTTAGCAAGACACTGGCCCCAGCAAACAGCTGCATCTGCATTTCAGTACCAGTTGAGCCTCAGACTTTTAGTGGTCTTCTGTGGCAAAATTATTAGTAGGGTTGCTTTTTAAAAACATATTTCCTTGAG